ACCGACGAGTGTCGACCACTCAGATAATTTGCCGACCACCGTTTGAGCCTCTGTGGGAGAGAGGAGGCCTCTATATCTTCTAGTAGCGTGGAATGGCAGACGGTGTCAAACGCCTTTGATAAGTCCAACGCTACTAGAATCGTTCTCTCACAGGGACGGTTTCGGTTAGGGCCACGAGTTATCTGAGTGTTTATGGCGTTAAGTGCTGTTGTTGTACTGTGCACTTTACGGAAACCATGCTGATGCTTCGCTGGGGTCAAGTGGTTTGCGAAATACGGGAGTAGCAAGGCCTCGAGTGTCTTCGCTACCGGGGAAAGGAGTGTTATCGGATGATAAGAATCTCCTACGTTGGTTTGAGCAGTGGGACCACTCTCCCCACCTTCCAGAAGTCTGGGATGATGAGAGTGGCCATATACAAATTGAGGACCTCCGTTAGGTACGCTACCCCCGCAGCACCAGCATGCATATTCCGTCGGGACCCATGGCTTTGGGGGGGTGGCAACTCTCTAATTGTTTGCTTTCTATAGATGCGTTCGATAACAAAATTAGCCAACACCAGCCAACAATCAAAATCAAGAGCGTAAGCGAAAGTTCTCTCCCAAAGAGAAGAAAAAGCAAAAAAAGTAAACGAACAGGAAATTAGCCATCACTTGCAAAAACAGGAAGAAGAAGACACACCAGCTGACTATAGTTGCGTTCGATAACAAAATTAGCCAACACCAGCCAACAATCAAAATCAAGAGAGTAAGCGAAAATTCTCTCCCAAAGAGATGAAAGAGCAAAAAAGTAAACGAACAGGAAATTAGCCATTACTTGCAAAAACCGGAAGAAGAAGACACACCAGCTGACTTTGTTTATGTTTTATTTGTTTTATTTGTTTAACAAACTGAAATTCATGTTGCCTCCATAGCAGAAAAAAGGAAAGTGAACGTTCAATGTTCGCCAGGAACATTTCTAGAAGTAAAAACTAGTTGGCGCTATCATAAAGTCACATAGCAGGCAGGCAAAAAGCATATAAATACCAAAACTCGGAAAATACAATTTTGTTTGTTTACAAAAATTGCAACCATATGTTTTGTGATCATAAAAGTAAAAATTTGGAAAAACTATTACAAATTTTTGACTTGTCGAACGCACCTTATATTTATGTTTTATTTGTAAACAAACTGAAATTCATGTTGCCTCTATGGAAGAAAAAAGGAAAGTGAACGTTCAATGTTCGCCAGGAACATTTCTAGAAGTAAAAACTAGTTGTCACTATCATAAAATCACATAGCATGCAGCCAAAAAGCATATAAATACCAAAACTCGGAAAATGCAATTTTGCTTGTTTACAAAAATTGCAACCATATGTTTTGTGATCATATGTTTTCGTGTTGGATAATTTTTGCTGACTAAAATTTTGCCAGTACAAAATGAACGCTTCTCTTGCATCAAAACGAACGCTTGCTCTCTCAATTTTTGTGCGTTGGATAATTTTTTGTCGTTATCGAACGCCATCCAGTAAAAATTTGGAAAACTATTACAAATTTTTGACTTGTCGAACGCACCTTATATTTTAAGTTAGACCTCTAGCAATACATCGGTGAAAACTGCATTCAAATCCATGCATTCGTTTTCGAGTGATGCGCGTGCAAACATACAGACAGACAAAAAGTCTAAAAATGGATGATTTGGCTTCTGGTGCTCTAATAAATACTCCCCACATTAATTTTTCTTTAATATCTATAATGTACAGACATCGACCTGTTACAATTTTATTATATGTATAGATAATAATAGATTGGTGCTTACACATATGTTAGTGTTTGGCCGAGCTTCTCCTCCAACTTGTGGCGTGCGCCTTGATATTGTCACACAAAGCGGAGGGACCTACAGTTTTAAGCCGACTCCGAACGGCGATTGTATTTTTATGAGAAGCTGTTTTTCAGAAATACACTCGGAGGTTTGCCATTGCCTGCCGAGGGACGACCGCTGTTCAGAAAAAAGTCTTTTTCAAAATTTTTTAGCGATGTTGCTTTGACCAGGGCTTGAACCCAGGTGCTGGTGAGTGAAAGCACACACTGCTTACCACTACGCCACAGCGGCCGACATTATTTTCTTAATAGGTGCCTCAAAAAAACATATTTATTCTTTGGGCACATATGACTTAAATATGATGCTAACTAAGCGTACGCGCATTTTATTTTTTTTATTTTTGGACTAAGGATCCCGCATTCAAATGCTGGTTGTGTAAACCCCTGAGGTTACAAGGCTTATTACAATGTTTGCAATTGCATACTAAAAGCCAAATGAGGAAGAGCTGATTTATTGTAACACGCACGCTCGCAAAAGCACTATGTTCCTTAAATTTGAATAAATACTTCAAATAGCTGAAACTTTGCAGATTTCTTATAATTTTTGCACAAGGTTTGAAATGCGGATTTATATTGTGTTAGTTATATAATGAGCTAGGCTTTTATGAAAAAATAATAAACATTAAATAAACAAAATAAAAACACCCAAAATCCATCCAAATGTTGATGACTTAATCAATTCATCATAAGCGTATGTATAGAATGATTTTTATATTAACGATCTCAAACCAGTTTACAATAGGTTTGTTCGTCGAGCAAAAAATTTGTACGAATTTGTACGAATTATCACGATTTTTGCCCAAATCGCGTTCGTGCAGACCAAAAAATTATCCAACACTCAAAAATTGTGAGAGCAAAGTGACAGTTCTCTTGGAGAGAAGTTGCAAATTCTTGCTGGAAAAAATTTTGCCAGCAAGAATTTGCAAACACGAAAAACATGTGGTTGTGGCGCATGGTTGCATTTTTGTCTACAATAATTTGAATAAATTAGTTCGTTAAATTTAAAAATTTATAAACACGAGCGATTTTTTATGAAAAAAGGAAGTAAATAATTGTTGATATAATTAATTTAGTTAATTCCAATGATTTGAACTTAATTCGGCTGAAAAAAATGGTATTCGCAATCGGAGTGCAATTGCAACCAGAGTCGATTTAAGAAACCCGACAGCTAGTACGATGAAGAAATTGAAATGTATGTTAAAGAAAGTCAGAACAACAAGAAATATGTATATCCTGTTTTTGGCCATCCGAAAGAATTTTAAATATTCTATAAAAATTTTTTATGTTTGAAATGCAACCGTGGACGCCAGCTGGCAGCGAAACTTGCAAATTCCTGCAAATTTGCGTTCGTGCAGAAATTTGCAAGTTTCTCAACATGAGAGAGAATTTGAGAGAATTTTTTCTTACTCTCTGATATTTTGAGTGTTGGATAATTCTTGCTGGATTTTCGACGAACAAACCTAATAGTGGTATTCACCAAATTGTTGTCAACAGTCGTTGCTTGAGCTCATCTGCTGTTTTGCCAGAGTGCCAGGCCTCTTGCTCACTTTGGTGAATACCACTAATGTATTTTAAGTGTGCTCTGTCAAAATGACATTTTAATATACCTTACGAACATATGTACCTTTGTATACGACACAAGTTTAATCGGCCCTATCGCGAATTTCACATGAAGAAATATTCCCAAAGGAAAATTTTTAGTTATTTGCAGGTCGTTTTTGGGGTGTGGGGCGGAGGGGGCGTGGCCCCATAAACCCCCATTATTCGAAAGGGGACAGCCCCCACTCCCCCCTTCGGGGCCTCCCACAGACCCCTAGGGAACTGTTTGAAAATGGGCGAAAAACAGCATTTACCGAGGGAAATTGAGCAGTTTGAAGTGAAATATAACCCAACTAACAGAATCTGCGGGGGTTTTAAATAAAAGAAGTTATCCCAAGGTGGTTATCACGCGAAAGAAGGGGGGCTGAACACCTTTTGCAGAGAACACCTTTCTGCGTAGGCGGCCTTCGGCCGCACTTAGGAATTATAACCCTCAGGCAGTAGAATTGTCCTTTCTGTGTTGCCAAAGAAGGGGGGCTGAACACCTTTTGCAGAGAACACCTTTCAGCGTAGGCGGCCTTCGGCCGTACTTAGGAATTATAACCCTCAGGCAGTAGAATTGTCCTTTCTGTGTTGCCAAAAAAGGGGGGCTGAACACCTTTTGCAGAGAACACCTTTCTGCGTAGGCGGCCTTCGGCCGCTCTTAGGAGTTATAACCCTCGGGCAGTAGAATTCTCCTTTCTGTGTTGCCAAAGCAGGGGGGCTGAACACCTTTTGCAGAGAACACCTTTCTGCGTAGGCGGCCTTCGGCCGCACTTAGGGATTATAACCCTCAGGCAGTAGAATTCTCCTTTCTGTTTTGCGAAGAAAAGGAGCTGAACACCTTTTGCAGAGAACACCTTTGTATATTTTTAATGCTTACTGGGTTATATCCTATCTTCTTTTGTTGTTGTTGTTGTTGTTGTAGCGGCTACAACAACCCCGCCCAGATCGGTTGGTATCTCAGTCGTTGTCGTCAAGTTCCACTAACGGCAACCCTAGGAAGCGTGCAGCTTCTGTGGGATCTGTCCACAGGGACAGGGCCGTTAGGGTTGTCGGGTCTTCTTTTGTCTCTCATTCTTTTGCATATTTTGGAGTTTGACAGCTGAACTCCGCCATTTAATTTGCATATGCAACCAAAGTCAGACGCGTGATTTTGAAGGTGTTTTTATTTAATGAATTGGTTAATATTAAAGTCGTAAAGCAAGTTATAACAAATCAAGTAAAGTGTAAAGTGAAGGGGAATACAAAAATATATTGGTGAAGTGGCTAATTTAAGCAGAATAGGAGTGATAAATGTACGCTAATTTCCGAATTTTACAAAAAAGGGCATATTTCAAACCCAATTTGTAAATAATTTAGTAACCAAAATTTACAAAAGTGAGTGTTAAGATATTGCGTGGACCCTTGACTACAAGTGTGTGAAATTTTTTTTGGATCGGGCCACCCATTTGGACGGAATAGCCCGAAATAGTTGTGAGCGGTACTAAACCCCACCCCTAAATCCTGCAAACCGTAGAAGTTTGGAACGCACTAGTGGTTGAATTTCAACCGCTGGACGAGCACTTGTAATGTAATAAAAGAAAACTTTTTATTAATAAAAATAAACACCTATTTACTTTGAATAACACTTTTTTCTCTTAATCCGAATCGCTGTCTGTTAGAACTTTTCCATCATCTTTTTTTTCTTCACTCTTATAATGACGATATTCTTTTTTTAGCTCCCACATGTTTTTGTGGGGATTCTTCATGTTGTAGTCACACACCTCTTTGAGAATTTCTTTGAGATAACCTATGGGCTGTTTGGTTATTTTCACCAAATCTTTAATATTATAGTACTGATGTTTTTCGAATGCATTAAAGAGCATGTCCATGACAGAATTTTTGTCATCACGGGCTTTCTTTCCTTCAGCTTTCTTTCGTTCCCGGTATTCAATCTGGAACAGAAAATATAACTGAAACGTTTTAAATTGCTTACAAGCCTTTATACGAACATTGTGTGCGTGGTCTTTAACAGGCTTAAAGTTTTGTACTATTTTGTCTATGGGTTGTACTTTGCGTTGTGGCACCGATGCTCTTCGAATTGATTCAAGTTTTAATTGCATATAGCAATTGTCGGCAATAGGTCGACACTCCAACTTTTGAACAATACGACCTTCCATATACAGCTTTTCCGCGTCACTAATCGGATGAGGTTCCTTTTCCTTGCCATTACTCATGTTAGTTGACTCCGGTGGCATAACATGAGAAAACACACCTAATGTCTGTTTGGTCACCACAGAAACATCTAATATATGTTCAGTAGGAATTTTCTCTTCAGGATCCACGTTAACTACAGCTTGTGTAAGCGATAAGGACACTTGCGCCTTTTGTCCCGGTGTTTTACTTATACGCAATTTTCCCACATCCATATTTGAAGGAGCTTTTGACCATTTCTGAGCAATATATTTCGGTACTTTAACCAGCCAAACACCTCTTCCCGCATTGGACAAGTCCAATTCCCGATCATCCTTGAACATTTTAAATTTCTTAATTTCCTTGGTGTGTGTTATACAAAGTTAAAATAATGTCGAAATCTCTAAAATCAGCTGGCGTACGTTTCCTTATTATCGCAGTTAGAGATGAAACGTTTCTAACAGGGTTGGTACTCCAGGAAACTGATTACGAAGCAAAAGCTAAGAAAAAATTTGCTTACGCGTAAAATCACATTTAGCGCATTTAGCTCTTAGGGCCGGTTACTCAATGTCTGGTTGTCACTAATCGGCGGTTAAACATCGTTATCGACGTTGTCGAAACCGTGCTATATGCATGGAGTCGTAGACGTCGACAACGATGTCTAACCGCAGATTAGTGTTAGCACTAATCGTAGGTAGAAGCTCTGGTTATATACAACGACTGCTTTATCGATCACATGTTATATGCATGATGTCGAAAACGTCGATAATGATGTTTAACCCGCAAGTGGTGGTAACCAGACATTGAGTAACCGGCCCTAAGGGGTATCACTAATCTGCGGTTAAACATCGTTATCGACGTTTACGACTCCATGCATATAGCACGGTTTCGATAACGCCGATAACGATGTTTAACCGCCGATTAGTGATAACCAGACATTGAGTATCCGGCCCTTAGGGCCGGTTTCTCCATCTCTGGTTAACACTAACTCCCCGGTTAAACATTGTTATCGACGTTCTACCTCCATGCATATAACAGGGAGTCGATAAGGTCGGTAACGATGTTTACCGGGGGATTAGTGTTAACCGGAGATAGAGAAACCGGCCCTTAGAGTAGCATAGTTAACACTAATGTCAGGTTAAACATTGTTATCGACGTATTCGACTACATTCATCTAACAGGGAGTCGATAACGTCGATAAGGATGTTTAACCAGAGATTAGTTTTAACCAGACATTGAGTAAACGGCCCTTAGGGCCGGTTGCTCAAAGCTTGGTTGACACTAATCCCCGGTTAAACATCGTTATCGACGTTACCGACACCATGTTATTTGCATGGAGCCGAAAACGTCGATAACGATGTTAATCGGTGATTAGTGTCAATCAGGCTTTGAGCAACCGGCCCTTAATGTACATTTATACATACAAAATTCGTCACCTAAATGCAACTAAACCTGGCATCACGGTATAGACAGTAACCAACCTTTTTGGGTTGTTGTTGTAGTAGTCGTTGTTGTTGTAGTTATATTCACCCCAGAGGAAGGCGCGGGGTTGTGTGCTGCTATTTAATGGTTTTCCTAGACTTTTTCTTAGATTTCAGGGTTGTGTGCTGTATTATTATTGGATAAATAAATTTAAGTATTTGTCAAATCGTGATTTTATTAAAAGAAAATTATAAATGGCGTTGAGAAACCAAACAAACGCTCGTGCGAAAGCTCTATTTTTGGGTATTGTTAAAATTTATACATGGCGTATTGATGATACAAGCAATTTATTCTTTTGTGGACTTTATGTTACTTGAGAATTTAGACAACGTGCGAGCTGCCAGGTTCTGTTATCAATATAATTAACACAAGCTTTTCCGAGTGGTTGCCTTTCAATAAAAAGAATAAACAAATATTCGCAAATAAATTGGATTTATTTTATAACTGACAACTAACGTACGCTTTTTGTTCTTTTCTCCATTTTGATTTTGACCCCTTATTACCGCCAACAACTTTATGTGTATACATATTTACAAGCTGTCAAAATTTTGCGTAGTCCCACGGGCTAGGTAAAAACTATGGCATTCGTATTCACAACGAGAAATCTCAAAATTTTTGTTTGGTCTCACCAAATTTTCTCTTTTTAATCAGTTGGCAAAGGCCCTCAGTGGCAGCGCTCCGAGCGTTGAGATAGTAATTTCATGTCAATGGGCCGTATGAATAAAAATAAGCAATTGCTTTTTCTTAATATTTCAGACCTTTTACTCGATTTATTCAAACAAAAGTGAAGTAACAGGAATGACATTTTAAGAAAAAGCAATTGTTCAGTTTTTATTCATACGGCCCAATTAGTAGAAAAGTTCCATGTTGAAAAAACTTTTTATTATGGCGAGAAAATTTTTCATTTCTGCTGTGCCAATTCGTAATTTTTTACTGCTGGAAATTTTTGACAGTTGCTCTGGTGCAAAAGAAGTTGAGCAATTAAAATCAAAAATTATACAAAAAAGACTTGTCTTTACTGACATTTATTCTTCTAGAACTAAAAGCCATGCATAGAACAAAAAAATTCTCCAAAACCATCAGGCCGGGTTGAAAGTTTCCGTTCACCTCATAGTTAACCAAAATTTACAATCCGTAGTACTTTTCTATCAATTCGCAAATGCGTTTAATTTAAATCGTTTAGAAAATGCGTCACCATTTTATGTGGAATTATTCAATAAATTTAGTTTTACACTATACTTTTTGAAACTATTTGGAGTTAATTATTTTTTGTTTCTTAAAAGCAACCTTGCGTGCTTGGAAGGCGTGTGTACCAATAATTTCATCCCTAGCATATTCATCCCCGAGGAAGGCAGTCGCCAAATTCACCGAAGGTTGTTTACTGGTTATATTGGCGCATATTCATAGTCACATTTAGTACTCAACTAAGTCGAAACTATTCTAAGGGCCGGTTACTCAATGTCTGGTTAGCACAAATCGGAGGTAGAAGCTCCGGTTAAGCACAACTACTGCTTTATCGATCACATGTTAAATGCATGATGTCGAAATCGTCGATAGTGTAGTGGTAGTGATAACCAGACATTGAACAACCGGGCCTAAAGCTATTCATAGTCGCCTTAGTTTCGACTTTTCTGGCTAAAGCTTAGTATCCAGCTCTTAAGAAAACGGTCAAGAAAAAATTGCCATTATTTCGCGTGTGTGTCCAAGGAATTTTGACATTTTTTATACCTCACAGCCTGTTGCCTCACTCTTTCCTCAAGAAATAATGGAGCGGGCATATATTTCGGTTACAAACCTGGGTTGCCTTGTGCTCTTTTTTCACAAAAAACTTTAGAAAACCGTAGTAGAAAGCGTACTAAATTTCTGAAGAACTGCGTACTGCCTTAAGGAAATTTGACTCAAGAAAATTTCTTAGCCATTTCTTGTACGTCATTTTATATGGAGTTTTTGCTTTTCTTAAGAGCTGGATACTAAGCTTAAGTACCAACTTAAAATTTAGTTTCGGCTGCAGCTGCAACTAAGTCGTAACTAGGAGGAAGTATTTTATCAAATTAAGGGGAAAACAGACGAAATATGTTAAAATTAAGTTGGTAGAGGGTGATTTTGATAATATTGAATAATCTCCAATTAAAATTTACAAAGATCGATCCATTTTAATCGGAAGATGAAATTAAATGCGTATTACAATTCGAATAAAGCTACATCACAATTTTATAATTGGAATAATTTAGATAAATTTTCAAATAATAAGTCAGTTTCACGCTAGTTCTTTTGGAGTAAATTTGTGCATAACATTTAGATATCTACTATTTGTTTGTTTCACAGCATGCTTTCGATAAACATCGACTTCACATCACTGCGGTTGTTCTGGCTATTTCACACAATTAACAAGAAAATTATACCTTCTTCTTTTGCATAATCATGCAATGAAAATAAAAATTACATAAACGGATGATCAAACTTGATATTACTTAATAAAAATGTAATTTTTCCAAAATATCGTAAAGAAAAATCGATACATTTTCACACTCCTTTTGCTATATCGTAAACTAAGTCGAAACTACTTAGTAGAAGTCTGAAATGCGACTATGAATAGAGGTATATTTTAAGTTGGTACTTAAATTTAAGTTGCAACTTTGTTAGTTTCGACTTAGTTGCTAGACTATGAATACGCGCCATTGTGCCTGGCATTCAGTAAGCGGTCTCTAGTCACAAATAACGACTTTTGGGGGGGAACTTGGATTTTGAGACTATTTGGTATTCAGTACGCTGTCTCACGTCTCTAGTCTCAAAAATAAGTCACTAATTGGTCAGATGGCTAAGAGCCGGTCACAAAAATAGAAGTATGGGGGAAAAGCTTATTTCTTTCCATTTTATAAAAAAAAAAAACGCGAAAATGAAGAGAGGAAATTGGTTCAACAAGAATTTCATTAGCAAATAAACCAACATGCTTTAATAACATACAAGTGTATTGAAAAAATTTTGTTTTTTTGTTTTTAAAACATTTAAATTTAAAGATTGTTAAAAAGTAAAACTAATAAAAAAATACTAAATAAAAAAAAATAAAAAATTCTCTACGGCCGAGGAGGACTTGAACCCAGACCCTCTCGGCTGCCAGTCTAATGCTTTGACCACTCGGCCATTGCGACTCTTTGAGCGGCGCGGGCAAAAGGTGAGCATAAACACTATCAGTTGATTGTCTGTGTTTGCTTTCACCACTTATTTTTGGAGAACTTTTTGTGACTCTCTCCTTCTGAATACCTAAATCGTCTCAAGTCACAAAAATAGTCACTAATTGCTAATCTCAAATTTAGTGACTTGAGATGACTGAATTACTGAATACCAGGCTTACCCAGGGTTACAAAAAGTTCACCAAAAATGTGTGGTGAAAGCAAACACGGACAACCAACTGATAGTGTTTATGTATGCCTTTTGCCCGCGCTGCTCAAAGAGTCGCAATGGCCGAGTGGTCAAAGCATTAGGCTGGCAGGCGAGACGGTCCGGTTTCAAGTCCCCCTCGGCCATAGAGGATTTTTAATTTTTTTTATTTAGTATTTTTTTATTGGTTTTATGTTTTTTAAATCTTTAGATTTTAATGTTTTAAAAACAAAAAAAATAATTTTTTTTCAATACATTTGTATGATATTAAAGCATTTTGGTTTATTTCCTAATGTAATTGTTGTTGAACAAATTTCCTGTCTTCATTTTCGTTTTTTTTTAATAAAATGGAAAGATATTATCTTTTCCTCCATATTTTTATTTTTGTGACCTGCTCTTAGCCAGCTGACAAATTAGGGCCGGTTGTTCAATGTCTGATTATCACTACTTGCCGGTTAAACATCATTATCGACGTTATCGACATCATGCATATAACATGTGACCGATAAATCAGTCCTTGTATTTAACCGGAGCTTCTACCTCCGATTAGTGCTAATCAGACATTGAACAACCGGCCCTTAGTGACTTATTTTTGAGACTAGAGACAGCG